CCAAGGAGCACTCTGGCTGCACTTCTTCCAACACAGATCTGTTTGTTCTTTTGGCAGTCCATGGCACTTTCAATATTCTCCTCCAACACCATAACTCAGATGCATCAATTCTTCTACAGTCTTCCCTATTCACTGTCCAACTTTCACATGCATATGAGGTTATTGAAAATACCATGGTTTGGGTCAGGCGCACCTTAGTCCTCAAACTGACATCTTTGCTCTTCAACTCTTTAAAGAGGTCTTGTGCAAAAGATTATGTCACTTGATTTCGTGACTACTGCTTCCATGAATGTTGATAATTGATCTGATCAAGATTGACAACATCAATCTTTCCTCCATTTATAAGGATGTTGCTTATTGGTCCAGTGGTGAAGATTTTTGTTTTCTTTATATTGAGATGCAACCCATACCAAAGGCTGTAGTCTTTGATCTTCATCAGTAAATATTTTAAGTCCTCGCCACTCTCGGCAAGCAAGGTTGTATCATCTGCATATCTCAGGTTGCTAAAGAGTCGTCTTCCAATCCTGATGCCATGTTTTTCTTCATATAATCCAGCTTCTCGAATGTTTTTCTTCATATATAATCCAGCTTCTCAAATTATTTGCTCAGCATACAGATTGAGTAAGTATGGTGAAAGAACACAACCCTGACACAAACCTTTCCTAATTTTAAACCATTTGCTGTTCCCTTGTTCTGTTCGAATAACTGTCCCTTTTTCCATGTACAGAGTCCTCATGATCACACTAAGTGTTCCGTAATACTCTGACTTCTGGAATATTGTCCATAGCTTGTCATGATCCACACAATTGAATGCCTTTAATTGAAAGTCTAGTCAATAAAACACATGTAAACAACTTTCTGGCATTCTCTGCTTTCAGCCAAGATCCATTAGACATCAGCAATGATATCCCTTGTTCCACATCCTTTTCTAAATCTGGCTTGAACCTCTGAAAGTTCTTTGTCAGTGTATGGTTGCAGCCATTTTTGTATTCTTTAGTACAACTTTACTCACTTGAGATATCATATTGTCCAATGATTTCTGCATTCCATTGGGTTACCTCTCTTTGGAATGGGCACAAATATGGATCTCTTCCAGTCAGTTTGCCAGGTAGTTGTCTTCCAAATTTCTTGGAATAGATGAGTGAGTGCCTCGAGTGCTGTATCAGTTTTTTGAAAGATTTCAATTTTTATTTCATCCATTGTTGGAGACTTGTTCTTTGCCAATGCCTTCAGTGCACCCTGGACCTCTTTCAGTATCATTGGTTCTTGATTGAAATGGTTGAACATCGACCATTTCATTTTGGTACAGTTAGTCTGTGTATTCCTTTCTAGGCTTTGGTGAGTGGAAATGGACAAGTGCTGGCCATTTTGAATCAGACAGTCAGAGGATTTTCTATGCTGAGAATGACAAATTGAAGAGGAATGGTATATTCATGCACAAAATGAACATTTCACAAATCTGTCTTGAAGTGTACAATGCTGTCTGTGATCCGATAATATCCATATGCCTACAAGGAAGCCACCCCATTATTAAACAACCCTGATTGCACTGTAGGATAAGCACTGGACTGCTAGCAGTAAGGTTGGCAGTTCAAAACCAACAGCCACGCCGTAGGAGAAAGATGAGGCTTTCTGCTCCCGTTAAGATTATTTGTTGTTGTTCAGTGCTGTTGAGTCATTTCCAACTAAGTGACCCTGTATAGAGTTTCCAATGAGTGACTGTTGGGTTTGAACCTCCAGCATTGTGATTCTAATTGACCTTGTGGTCTAGTGATTATCCTAGGGTACCACACCAGAACTCCCGTTAAGATTTCCAGCCTTGGGAATTCAATGCTGGGTGCTAGGAGTGGCAGGAGACTCAGTGACACTGGGGTTGTTGTTTTTGGTTTTCGTAAAGAAGTCATTTGGTGGAAGTTACAAAGGCCATAGCTAAAAGGGCCATACTAAGTAATTCACAGCACTGTACCGGGTCTCCTTTGCTCCTGGGCCTAAGGATTCTACCAGGCCCTTGGCGTGCCCCCATGGATAATGGGTTGTGTCTTTTCAGGTTGTGGAGCAAGGATCTTCCCAGGGCATGTTAGAGCAGATCCTCTGGGTTCTTATCACCTTACTGCAGTGGGAGATTTGTCTCCTCTGCATTCAGTATGCTATCATTAGGTCCCCAAGGATTCAGAGAAGGCTGAATCAGGCATATACAGTTTATCCCTCAGATCTCTGTCAGTATGTGTGTGTTTCTGTGTATGCACACACATGTTCAGGTGCTGAAAGCTAAAAGATAGGAAGAAGAGAGGAAAATATTTTCCTTAGTCCTTTGGGAACTCAGAGGTCAGTCTGGTGACTCAAGACTGATTTTTCTTCTTCCTTTGCCTTTTCACTGTCTACATTCCTCTAGGACTAACTCAGGACATAAGTGATCTGTTCTTGCAATTTTAAAAGCCACTGTCAATGTGAGTTGGTACTTCTCCTTCATGGAATTTATTCTTCCTAGTTGCAAGAGTTTAACAGTGGATTTTGTTTTCTTGTAACTTTCTGCTTTCCTTAGTCCCTCAGAGAACATACTCCTGTTTTCTTCTTCTTCTGAGTGATGGGTATCAAAAACTGTTACCCTTCCTCAAGTATCCATCTGTTCTCAAATGAGTGTTAGGTATTCCTCCGGCAAATCACCTAGTGTTTCTTACTTACATATCCTTCCACCGGAAGTATTAATGGAACAGAAAAATGTACCTTGCTGGAAATGATAGCTCTCTACTATAGTAGTAAAGTGGGACCACATGTTGCAAACTTGGATTTTCCAATTAAACAAGAAGGGAATTCATGTTGATTTGTTGTAGTCTCGGTGTCTGCCATTCTCTTAAGATTTTTCAGGCTGGAGATAGATGGGATACAATAGATTAAGCTTTTGGAATTACGGGAGTCTATGTTAAGTAGATCTATTTTGAACATGTATAGTGTGTGCTTGAGTCACATTGATGTTAGTCTGGATCTTTCTCCATTAGTTCTGGTAGGTTAGGAACAAAGGGTATAAATAAGTTTATGGTAACAGGTATAATTTAGTGATTGTCGTTGTGAAGAAATAATAAATGTTGGGAAACAATGACTTTCAAAATTGCAGAGGAGTATTAGAGAACTTGTCCAACCTCACTGCCCCAAATAAGAATATTGAATACATAAAAGGAGATGTCATACAGCCACTAAAAATGATGTTCATTAAAGAATTCTGATGGCATGGGAAAATAAATGATAGGCATTTATCATTCTGGCATATTTATGAGCTTGGTATTTTAAATAATTAAGTTACATAAATTATATTTAAAGTATATTTTCCGAGATAGAGATTTTATAAGGTATTTCAGATTGATTCAGACTTTTTTTAAATGTGTGTGGTGGACACATGGGAAGGACAATCACAAGTGTTGAGATTCTGGTGTGCTGGGCATATGGTGGGCTGTTACTTGCATATACAGTTTCATTTATGGAGAAACACCAATTATCTGGACTTTTTTTGTTCCCAGACCTGGGTGGATCAATGGTAATTTTCCAGCATGCCAGAGGTTATATCTGCACGTTGTTGTTGTTGTTGTTGTTATGTGCCGTGGAGTCGGTTCCGACTCATAGCGACCCTGTACAGAGTTTCTGAGGCTGTAAATCTTTACAGGAGCAGAAAGCCTCATCTTTCTCCCACGGAACAGCTGGTAGTTTCAAACTGCTGACTCAGATTAGCAGTCCGATTCATAACCACTACGCTACCAGAGCGCTTTATAGCTCATGTAGGAACATTCAAAAACTATAAAACATTCAACTCTGGTTTCCACACCTGAAACCCCTCTCTTTTAAGGGTCCAGCAAAGTCTAGTTTACTAATAATGTTCCCCTTCTGCATTGCTTTCCATTTTCTTTATTCTATCTTAAACGTGGTTGTATATGTTTCTTTCACAAATAGTATATTTCTTTATGGTTTCAGGTTCTGAAGTTCAAAGATGTGGCCATTTACTTTTCTGAAAAGGAATGGGAATGCTTGAAACCCACTCAGAAGGATTTGTACCGAGATGTAATGTTGAAGAATTATAACAATCTGGTTTCACTAGGTAGGTTTATTAACCCTCCCCCAAATTTACTTGACCTTTTAGAATTTCCATGTTCTTTGCTATGACCTTCTGGTGAAAACTTTTCAAGTGGGTGGCTGAAATGATGCCATGCCAAGGAATAGTTTGTTCCTTGTGGAGTTGAAAATGGGCTTCTCTGTTCCTGACCTTCACCCCTTACTCTGACCTTTAATCTATTTGCTCTTCTTTGCTAATCCTGGACTGATTTAATTTTAGGATGCCCACAGCATAACCTTGTCCTTTTTTTTCCCCCTCCCCTTGAGCAGGACTGTCTGATTCTAAGCCAGATGTGATCTTCTTACTAGAACAGGGGAAAGAACCCTGGAGGGTGAAGAGAGAGGAGACAGAAGAATGGTGTCCAGGTGAGTGATGGTGAATCTCCCGGAAGAAGTCACTGTAGGTGGTAACAGAGGTGACCCGTGAGAAGTCAGCACATCTGATACACTGCTAGAAAAGTTCCCTGAATAGGCCTAAGACTTAGAGTAGAAAGTATGGATTTTCAACATGAGCTTCCAAATGTATTTCAATTGTTACCACTCTTACCACTCTACTGAAGGAGCTCTAATAGCGTAGTGGTTACAAATCGGGCTGTGAACCGCAAGGACAGCAGTTCGAAACTATCAGCTGTTCCGTGGGAGAAAGATGAGGCTTTCTGCTCCCGTAAAGATTTACAGCCTCAGAAACCCTGTACAGGGTCACTATGAGTCAGAACCGACTCCACGGCACATAACAACAACATGGGTCAGAACCGACTCCATCGCACATAACGATGATGACAAACACTCTACTTCCCTTCTCTCATATATCCATCTCATTTCAGAGAGATGTGCCTTCCTCCTTCCTTGTGACAACCATTTTACCTATACTTTGGGTCCAGTTTTGTTTTATTTAAAAAAAAAAAAAAAAACAGCTTTATTGAGATACAATTTTGTTGTTGTTAAGTGCAGTACCGTATAGGGTTTCCAAGACGTGTGTAGTGCATTTGAACTGTCAACCTTACAGTTCAAACAGACCTTACAGTCCAGTGCTTTAGCCATACCAGGACTCCAAAATTTACAACATCATAAATTTCACTCATTTCAGGTTGTTTTTAGAACTGCGTTTTTATACAAATAATGTGTATGTTCTATGTTTGTTGGCCAACCATACACAAAATGCAGGTTGTTTTCTGAACCGTATTTTTACACAATGTGTGTGTTCTATGTTGTTGGCCAACCATGCCCAAAATGCAGTTTAGTCACAGACTTGTGCGACCAGCACCACAGTATAATTTTAGAACATTTTTATCAACCCCAAAATGAAGCCCCATTCTTTTACACTACACCCAGCCCTAGGCAACACGAATCTACTTTGTCTTCTGTATATTTCCTATTAATGAAATCACACAATCTGGAGGGGTTTTGTGCCTGACTTCTTTCATTTGACATGTTTTCACGGCTCATGCATGTTGTAGCATGTATCAGTACTTTCCTTTTTATGGCTAAATTTCATTGTGAAGCTATCCTATATTTTATCAGTTCATCAATCGATGGACATTTTAGGATGTTTCCATTTATGACTTACAAGTAGTGTAATTATGAACATTCACTTCCAAGTTCCCTTTTTTTCCTAGTCTGTTGAGTGTAATTTTACCTGGAAGCAGATGAAAATGTTAAATGCATTTTTTTCTACATTTGTATATGTTGTTAAGTGCCATCGAGTTGGTTCTGACTCATAGCGACTCTGTACAGGGTTTCCAAGGAGTGGTGGCTGAGTTTGAACGGCTGACCTTGTGGTTCAAACAACCTTGTAGTTAAGTGCTTTATTCCACATCACCCACACCAGGACTCTGTATATAACACCTGTATATTGTTGTTAAGTGCCGTTGAGTCGGTTCTGATTCATAGCAACCCTGTATAGAGTTTCTGAGGAGCGGCTGGTGAGCTTGAACCACCAACCTCGGGGTTCAAACCAACCTTGGAGTCCAGTGTATTAACCAACAGAGCCACATGTAGATTTTGCCCTTTATTCTATTAATAGTGTGTATTACATTGATAGATTTTTGAGTGTTAAACCAAACTAGCATTCCTGAGATAAATCTCACTTAGTCATAGTATATAATCCTTTCTGTATGTTGCCAGATTATTTGGTAATATTTTGTTGAAGATTGTACATCAGTATGTTTGTCCATTGATGATCAATTAGGTAATTTCTCTTTGCTATTGTGAGTAATGTTACAATGGCATGGGTGTGCATATATCTGCTTGTGTCCTGACTGTTATTTCTTTGGGATATATACCTAGTAGTGGGATTGCTGGATTATATGGTACTTCTATTTCCAATTTTTTAAGGAAGCATGCTATCATTTTCCACAGTGGCTCTACCATTTTACAGTCCCACCAGCAATGTATGAGAGTTCTAATCTCTCCACACCCTTACTTAATGACCTTTACTATTATTGTTGGGGTGAAATGATATATCATTGTTTTTTTGATTTGCGTCTCTCCCATGGCTAGTGATTGTGAACATTTCTTCATGCGTTTGTTGGGCACCTGAATATCTTCTTTGGTGAAGTGTCTGTTCACGTCCTTTGCCTATTTTCTAATTCAGTTGTCTTTTTGTTGTTGAGATGTTAAAGTTTTCTATAAAGTTTGGAGATTAATCCCTTGTCAGATGTTACTGCTAATATGTTTTCCCAATCTTCAGGCTCTTTTTATAACTCTTTATGGAGAAGTCTATTAATGTGCATAAGTATTTCCATTTTAAAAGGCCCCAATCATGTAGTTTATTGTCTGCTGCTTGTGCATTTTTGGTTATGTTTGATGGTCTCTTTATGCCATAAATTAGAACCCCTAAATTTGCCCCTATTTTTGATTTGATGATCTTGATAGCTTTAGGTTTTGTATCTAGGTCTTGGACCCATATTGAGTTAGTCTTTTTATATCTTGTGAGGCATGGATCTTGTTTCATTTTTCTGAAAATGGATCAAGTTTTGCCAGAACTATTTGTTAGACAGTCTCCCCCATTTAATGGATTTTTATCTCTGTCAAAGCTCAGCTGTCCATAGGTGGGATGGATTTGCTTCTGGGTTTTCAATTCTGTTGTGTTGGTCTTTGTGTTTGTCATTACACCTGTACTAGGTATCTTCACTACCATAACTGTACAGTTGATTTTTAAATCTGAAATTTTGAGACTGCCTACTTTTTCTTCAGCAATGCTTTTCTTCTCAGGAGTCTCTTTCCTTTTTATATGAAGTAAGTGACTGGCTCTCCCATCTTCTTAAAGACTGTTGATGGAATCTGGATCAGGATTACGTTATATCCATAGATCGCTTTGGATAGCATTTTCTTTTTTTGTTGTTATATAAATTAACCCATTTATTACAGGCTAGACAGGTTTAGGTGGTGGAGCTTCTACTGGTCTTTCAGTTCCTTCAGTCATCTGATGGCGGACTTTACTGTAACTGCGGAGGTGGTGTTGTAGGTCCAGGCACCCCCAGCCACCATTTTCATACAGGAACCACAGTGCCAGATTCCCACAGCTCGTCTCTTCATCTTGGTTTTGCCGCAGAAGGAGCAAGTGTACTTGGCATGCTGGCTGATTTAAATTTTCTTCACCATTTTCCTGAGGGAGGCACCATAACGGGTCCCGTGTTTACCCACGATTCCGACCTTCTTGGTGCGTTTAGCCATCTCGTCGCCACCTAGTGCCCAGTGTTGACATTTTCATAATATAAGTCTTCCTGTCCATGAGCATAATATGTTTTCATATACCTAGGTCTCTTTTAATTTCTTGTAGTGTTCTGTAGTTTTCTTTGTATAAATCTTTGGCTATCTCTAGTTAGATTTATTCATAAGTATTTTATCTTTTTGGTAGCTATTGTAAATGGTATTGGAGTCCTGGTATGATTCTGTAAGAGAATCACTAGACCACAGATTTGAACCACAAGGCGGTGATTTAAAACCACCAGCCACTCTTCAGAAACCCTACACAGGGTTACTATGAGTTAGAACCTGTATAGGGTTTCCAAGGCTTTAAAAATCTTTGTGGGAAAAGATAGCTTCATCTTTTTCCTGTGGAGTGGCTGGGGGGTTCGAACCACCAACCTTGTGGTTCACAATCCAGTGTTAATCATCAGAGCCACTGAGCTCCTTATCTACAATTAGGGAGAGTGTTACTTCTCCCTTACCATTGTGGATGCCTTGTCTTCCCCTCTCTTGAATTACTGTCCTGGCTACGATTTCCAGAATGATGTTTAATATGAGTGGGGATAGAGGGCATCCTTGTCCGGTTCCTGTTCACAGGGGGAGTGTTTTTAGTTTTTCTCAGTGGAGAATAATGGTGGCTGTTAGTTTTGCATGTATGCCCTTAATTATGTTGAGAAATGTCCCTTCTGTTCCTATTTGGATGAGAATTTTTATCCAGAATGGGTGTTGGATCTTATCAAATTTTTTTCTGCTTTGACTGATATATGTGTTTTTTCCTTTGTAAAATTTAATTAGTGGATTATGTTAATTGTTTGCCAATGTTGAATCATCCTTCCATACCTGGAATGAATCCCTCTTGCTTGTGATGTATAATTTTTTTAGTGTTGGATTATATGGGCTAAGACTGAGTTGAGGATTTTTGTGTCTGTGCTTATGAAGATATTAGTTTATAAGTTTCTTTTTTAGTGGTATCTTTGCCTGGCTTTGCTATAAGGATTATGGTTATGAATTCAAAATTATTCCTTCCTTTTCTGTGTTCTGGAATAGTTTGAGTAAAATTGGTTTCAGCTGTTCTTTGAATGATGTAGTATTCTCCAGTGAAGCCCCATCTAAGCCAGGATATTTTGTTGGGAGGTTGTTTTGTTGTTGTTGTTTTTTAATTTTTTCTTGTGTTATGGGTCTGTTCAAATTTTCTTTCCCAGTCTGTGTGTTAGTTTAGGGAGGTTGTGTATTTGTAGAAAATTGTTTATTTCTTTTGGGTTTTCCAATTTGTTGAAGTACAGTTCCTCATAGTATTCTGTTATTCTTTTATGTTGTACTGTTTATGTTGTGAAATTGCCCATTTCATTTCTTATTCATGTTATTTGCATCCCCGTTGCTTTGTTAAGCCTGCAGGTGATTTATCTAGTTTTGTGACTCTTTTCTTAAAACCAATTTCTGGACTTGTTTATTCTATTGTTTTTGTTTCATTGATTTCTGTTCTAATCCAGTCCATAGTATTTCCTTTCTTCTGGAGACTGTAGGCTTTTTGTGCTGTTTTTTTTCTAATTGTTGGAGTTGTTTGGGTAAGGTATTGATTTGGCTTCATCCTTCTTTTTTGAAGTGTTTCTTTATTGCTGTAACTTGCCTTCTGAGCAGTGTTTTTGCTGTGTCCCAAAGATTTTGGTATGCTGTGTTTTCATTCTCATTAGCTTCTAAAAATTTATTTCTCTTTTCATTTCTTTTTTTATCCAGAAACTGTTAACTTAGTTGCCATGTTTTTTATTTTCCCTGATCTTCCTCTTACTGGTTTTTAATTTTACAACATCGTGATCCAAAATGTTTTATAGCTTTTCAATGCCTTTAAATGTATTGAGCTTTATTTGTGGCCTAATAACTGGTCTATTCTGGAGAGTGCTCCATGTGCACTGGAAACGAGTGTGCGTTGCCGTTTTGTTTGGTGGAGTGTTCTGTATATGTTTAGGAGGTCAGGGTGGCGGATGGCGTTGTTGAGATCTTCTGTATCTTTGTTGAGTTTCTTTCTAGTTGTTCTGAGCATCATCAAAAGTGCTGTGTTAAAGTATTTGAATACTATTGCAGCGTTGTAAGTTTCTCTTTTCAATTTTGTTTATTTTACTCTCTGTATTTTGGGGCTCTTTCATTGGGTGCATAGTTATTTCATATGATTATGTCCTCTCACTGGTTTGAATCAGTGGTTTGACTCCTGGGAAGCCAGGATGGCCAGGCTTCATCTGTCATACTTTAGACATATTATCAGGAGGGTCCAGTCCCTGGAGAAGGATATCATGTTTGGTAAAGTGGAAGGTCAGAGAACACCAGGAAGACCCTCAAGGAGATGGGTTGACACAGTGGCAGCAGCAGTGGGCTTAGGTGTAGCAACGATTGTGAGGTTGGACCAGGCAGTGTTTCGTTTTATTGTATATAGGGCGACTGTGAGTCAGTACCGACTCGATGGCACCTAACAGCAACAACAACAATCCTTTTTGCTTTTTACTTGATATCTATTTTAATCAGAAAATGCCATTCCTGCTCTTTTTTTGTTGCCTTTTTAACTTGTGGTTTTTCCCGTACAATTTGATTTTTCATTTATTTTTATCTGTATGCCTAAGGTGATTCTCTTATAGGCAGCCTATTGATGGATCCAGTTTTTTATCCATTCTGCCACTCTCTTTCTCTTGACTGGTGCATTTAATCTGTTTACATTCAGTTTGCATGAATTAATTCATGATAGGTATTAATTCATTGCTGTCATTCCTTTTTTATGATTCTATTTATTGTATTTATTTATTTATTGTTGATGATGTCTTTATTCCATATTATTTTTCTGTAATGTCTTTGTTTTTCTTGTTATCTTACAGATTGGGAGTCCAGAACGGAAACCGGACGTTTATCTCTAAAGGAGGAAAGATGTGAAATTGAATCATTGCCTCAAGCAGTAACAGTAAGACCTACAAGCTCTAACCTTGATGATCCCAGGTTCAGAGATAACAGAGACAGTACATTTCCATTTGAGAGACAACAAGAGGGACAGTGCAGACAAGCATTAATACTACTCGATCGATTACATCAGAGAAGTCATACTGGAAAGAGATCCTGTGAATTCAAAGGAAGTAAGAAAGCTTTCAGGGACCAGCTCTGCCCTATTCGACATAAAAAAATTCATAATAAGGAAAAAGACTCTGAATGTGGAGATGATGGGGGCACCTTTAATAGGAGATCGGACTTGAGTCAGCATCAAAGCATTTATGATAACAAAAGAAGTAATGCAAATAAGAAACGTGCCTTGACTTTTGATTCTGAAATGACTCATCCTCAGAAAATGAACACTGGTGAGAAGCCTCATAAATGTAAAGAATGTGGAAAAGCCTTTAATTCAAGTTCACAACTTAGTCAACATCAAAGAATTCATAGTGGTGAGAAACCCTATAAATGTCAGGAGTGTGGAAAGGCCTTTGCAACTACCTCACAGCTTAAACTACACCAGAGAATACATACTGATGAGAAGTACTATGAATGTAAAGAGTGTGGCAAAGCCTTTAGTCGTCCTTCCCACCTTACTCGACATCAAAGAATTCATACTGGTGAGAAACCCCATAAGTGTAAGGAATGTGGGAAAGCTTTTCGTTATGACACACAACTTAGTCTTCATCAGATAACTCATACTGATGAGAGACTCTTTGAATGTAAGGAATGTGGGAAGGCTTATAGCTGTGCTTCACAACTTACGCTACATCAAAGAATTCATACTGGTGAGAAACCCCATAAATGTAATGAATGTGGCAATGCTTTTCTTTCTGTCTCTCACCTTATTCGCCATCAGAGTGTGCATACTGGTGAGAAACCCTATAAGTGTAAGGAATGTGGAAAATCCTTCCGTCGCGGCTCAGAACTGACTAGACATCAGAGAGCTCACACTGGTGAGAAACCCTATGAATGCAGGGACTGTGAGATGGCTTTTACTTGTAGCACAGAACTTATTCGACATCAAAAAATTCATACTAGTGAGAGACCCCATAAATGTAAGGAATGTGGGAAGGCTTTTATTCGAAGGTCAGAACTTACTTATCATGAGAGAAGTCATAGTGGGGAAAAACCCTATGAGTGTAAAGAATGTGGGAGGTCCTTTGGTCGTGGCTCAGAACTTAATCGACACCAGAAAATTCATACAGGTGAGAAGCCATATGAATGTAAGCAGTGTGGGAAGGCTTTTATTCGTGGGTCACACCTTAGTCAACATCAAAGAATTCATACAGGACCGAGGGATGAATGAAGAAATGTGGGAAGGCTCAAAACTTAATTGATTTCAGAAAATTCATACTGAATAAAAAGGAGCCTGTGACTATAAGGACCGTGGGAAAGCATTTGAGGCTAATTACTTAGGATCAGCACTGGACTGTGAACCACAAGATTGGCAATTGAAACCCACCACCTGCTCCTTGGAAACCCTATGAGTTGGAACCTACTCAATGGTACTTAACTACAACACCTTACTAAATATGGAGTCCTGGTGTAGCATTGTAGAATTAAATTAAGCACAAGCTCAGTGGTTCAAAGCCTCCAGCCACTCCTTGGAAACCCTAAACAGGGTGGCTATGACTCAGAACCTATTGACAGAACTTAACAAGAATGACTTATAAATATCATTTATATTTGTGAATATTGAATATCAGAGTCCATACTGTGCATCAACAACCTTGATTTAAGGACCAGGCCTTATGTAACATTTGATGCTAATGAGAAGCTGTGTTTGGAATAGGGAAGGATTTGTTATTCAGAATTTGTTGTTAAATGCCATCAAATCAGTTCTGACTCATAGCAACCCTGTATATGGTTTTCCAGAAATAGCTTCTGGGCTTGAACTGCCAACCTTATGGTTAAAAGTCCAGTGCTTATGCTTCACTGTCACACCAGGACTCCTGTTCAGAATTTAGTAAACATCAGAGTTCAGCCAGTGAAAGTGGAAAAGCTCCATGAATGTTAGGACAGTAGGAAGGCTTTTTCTGTGGCTCAGAAAAGTCAGCTTCAGTGAATCCATAATTGGGAGACACTTAAGAAGGCTTTGAATGTGTTAGAGACATCAGTCATACAAAGTTATTGCCACATTGGGAATTTCACATTGAGAAATCAAAGGAGTCATCATATGTCATATGTGTGAGTTATCAACTTGATACAGTCAACAAGTTATTTATATGCTATTTAATACTTGACTAAGACTACATTAATATTAAAAATGCAGAAAATCCTTCCATCCACTTAAATCTTATTAAAAACTAATATACTCATTCTCTAGTATTAGTAAGTCTGTAAGAAAACACTCAAGCATCATAAATGACAAAGAATACGTAACTATAAAAATGGAGGGGATTTAAAGAAATAAGGCACAATTATGGCAGACTCTGTTGGTTACCTGCCTATTGCTCATTACCATTTTCTCCTTATCCATGAAAGTCTTCCCACCTAAGATTATCAGTGCCAGAATCTTGTTCTCCTAGTCTGTTTTGCAGAAGCTGCAGACATCTGCATTTGACATTCAGTTTTCCTTTCTATCAAACTGGGAGGAAACGTTTGTCTTGTAATTAGTGTGCATATCTCTGTGATACCAATAACTGTGGTGATTTTGCATCCAGAAAGGTGATGAGCTCAGGTTACTGCAGAGGATAAATTGGAGTCACCTGTGTCCTTGACAATGTTAAGCTGCTGAAACAACTCAGAATGGTCCTGTCCCTGAACTTGTGTGAAATTAAAAGTCCCATGCATATTTGTTACAACCAAAAGTATCCCAAATGTTTTGTGTTTATACTCAGCTTTGTACAATAAATATATGAGACCTGGGAAATATTTTTTTTATTATATGTGTATATACTTGTTTTATTAAATATATACATATACTCAGCTTTTATAGTCTATAGTACATCAAATATACATATATTCTGCTTTCTATAGTATACACTATATTTTATGGTTTATAGTATATCTGAAATCCTGTAAGTTTTCTTTTTCTGAATATAGTAAAAACCAAGAAGAAACTGAATTTAGAGGAGGCAGGGCTTAATGGTAGACTAGACAGAAAGGCTGTTCAGACCTCCACCAGTAATAACACAGAATACCAGACAAAATAGGTTCAAAGGATGTTCCTGGAACTCTGAACTTCAAATGAAGGCATAAATAAGAGGACCAAAGGCTTACTACAAATAAATTTGGAGCAGAAACAAGGAAGGAGGTGGCTTCAGATTTGTGTTGGCCAGTGAGTCCTGGTACAGCCAGTTTTCAACGGAAAGGAGCAGATATAAGGTCAAGAGAGCACTCACATCACAGAGTTCTGACAGATCGGCAGAGATAAAGGTACAAGCATTTCCTTTTCATTCTTTAAACTTGCTCTGTTTGCCCATCTCCAGTCTGGCAACCAAGGGGATGCCTGAGCAAGTGGACACCACCAGGGAAGGTTCTACTATGCACACACAAGGATCTGCACAAAAAGGATTGCTAGGTGCAGAATCAAAGAAGGAGAGGAGTCAACAGGAAAAGCTTGAAACAGGAGTGTCTTCCAAAATGGCTCTGGCCAGCCCTGAACTGGTCCTCACTAGGGGAAACACCTGAATGGGCTTGAGGGGAAGTGACAGAGGAGGAAAAGGCCAAATACAAAATCTTCCTCTTTAGTTATATCATAAAGTACAATAGGAACATGTTGAAATTTCCCAAGTAACTTTGATCACAAGACGCCAAAAAAGGGTGCTAAAGTTTTACTTAGACATTTTGCTACAGTGTTTTGTTTTGGCAATTTTAGACTTTAATGTCCAGTCTGGTTTTTTTGGTCCCCCTTATATCTTGGAAGACTTAGAAGAATTGATCCTTTTATGTTATGGTGTTGGAGGAGAATATTGAAAGTGCCATGGGCTGCCAAAAGAACCAATCGATCTGTTTTGGAAGAAGTACAGCCAGAGTGCTCCTTGGAGGCCAAAGTGGCCAAATTTTGTCTCTCATACTTCGGACATATTGTCAGGAGGGACCAATCGCTGGAGAAGGATGCCATGTTTGGTAAGATGGAGGGTCAGAGAAGAAGAGGAAGACCCCCAGCGAGATGGACTGGCAAAACAGCAGCATCAACGGGCTCAAGTGTGGCAACAATTTTGAGGTTGGCCCAAGACTAGGCAGTGTTTTGTTCTGTTGTACATAGGGTTGCTACTCACCAAACCGGGTTAGAAATTTACAAGCAGCCATTTAAGATACAGCTACCAGTTTCTATTCATCTGGAGTAAAAGATAATGAAGGAAATGAAAGTCTCAATGAAGAAACGTGTCCCCAGGACTAATAGCCCACACAAACCATGACCTCTTCTAACCTATAACAAACAATAGATGTATCCAGCTATCATTAGAGACTGTTCTGACCAGGAAAACAATAGCAGGTCCTTGGTAGAATGGGAGAAAAAGAACAAAAGACCCAATCTATTGGACCAATATTGGAGTCCTGGTGTGGTGCTGTGGGTTAATGAGCCAGACTGCAAAGCCATTTGAACTGTAAGATCAACAGTTCAAGCTCACCAACTGCTCCTTGGAAACCCTGTGCAGGGTCACTATGGGTCAGAATCAACTCTATGGCACTTCACAACAACATTGGAACAACAGAGACTACAGGAATCCCCGAGACTATTGCCCTAAGATACTCTTGAAGTGTGGTACTGAACCTACTTTTGAGAAGTCACCTTTCAGCTAAATAATAGCTTGGCTTATAAACTAAACAATGTCATATATGAGTAATGTTCTCCCTTAAATAATCAACCATATGAGAGCAAACAATCAACATTTACCCAAAAACAAAGATGAATGGGGAAAAGCAAGGGTTGGGGAAAAGGGAAGCTAGAGTAATGGAAACAGAATAAAAAGAATGGAAATAATAAGAATGCTGACACATTGTAAAAATTGTAACCAATATCATGAAATAATTTCTATAAGAATTGTTAATTGGGAATGTAATTTGCCGTGTAAACTTTCACCTAAAGTACACAAAAAATATTTCATTTTTTAAAAATTAGTAAAATGCAGATAAAATAAACAGAAATCATGTAAGAAAAATGTAAACTACATTGGGATGCTATTTTTCACCTAACAGACTGGCAATACTAAAATAATCTGACAAGATACTTTTTGAAATAGTCACTGTCCTGCATTATTGTTTTGTTTTTATAAAGGTTTTTATTGTGGATTGAGTGAAAGTTTACAGGGCATATCATCAGTTTTACATTCAACAAATCATATACCTTGTTTCATTACATTGATTA